AAAAAGCTTAAAAAAAAAACCCAACAGAAATTAAATGATACCCTAAATAACAAAAAGTGAAAAGAAAACAAAGGATTCAAAAGAGGCATGTGATACATACAAAAAAATTAACAAGAGCTGAGAAATAAATCTAACTACATAATAATTTTAAATGTGAAACTAATTGAAAGGTAAACACCATCTGAATGGATGAGACAGTAAGATTTATTACACAATCTATAAGAAATATGCTTTCAGATTCAAAGGCAAATGGATTGATTTTAAAGAAACTAAAAGACTATTATAAACAACTTTATGCTCACAAGTTAAGACACCAAATAGAAAACACAAATAGTTATAAAGATGAAATTTACTAATGAAATTTTTTAAAGTTGAATGTATCAATGACAAGAAATTAATTTATGCTCATAAAACAAAGTCCAAACACAAGCAACTTTTTAGTGAATTCTACCAAATATTTAAAATGGGAAATAACCAAATCCTTGAAAAACTCAGAACAAGGGGCTAGTATTACCGATGCCAAAGTCAGGCAAGCATATCATAAGAAAAGAATGTCTCTCATGAATAGGTTTCAAAATCCTCAATAAAATTTACCAAGCGAATCTAGTGACATATAAAAAGGAGGACTTTACCCTATGATCAAGTGGGATTTAGCACAGGAAGGAAAGGCTGATTTAGCATCTGAATAAAGGGAACAAAAAAAAAATCTCAATAGACATAAAAATGTATCTGAGATAGTTTCTTGTGCCAGCCTGGCCGATAAACACAAGTAAGATTAATTGAAGGGCGGAGAGATAATGGCTCGGTGAGCCTCGTCTTTCTTGTCTCTTGCTCTTTGATCATTGGACCAGTGTGCTGCTGCCTTGCTTGTTTTATGCCTCAATTTATAGGCTACACTACCTGTGAGACGCCTAGCCTGTGGACTGTGTCGCTGTAAGTTGAGGTCCCTTTAAGACATCTCTGGAGCTGGGGACTAGCAGTTGGGACTGATGGTTGGCTGGCAGTTGGTGACCTGCCTTGTGGTTGACTGCTGTGCTGAGATATCCTAACTCTCTCTATAAATAGAGGAAGATCTGGCAGCAGACTAGACTTCAAGGACTGCTAGTCTCTCAACTCTCTTACAGGAGTTAGCTGCACTGAGTCATTTGTAGTGCTTTATAATTTAACTGTTCATATCTTGTATTATATATTTATCTGTATATGATTTAACAGTTCATTTCTTATATATCTAATTATCTTTATAAATAAATATATTTAATTATCAGCAACTTGGTTTTATCTCTCTAGAGAACCCTGTCTAACACAGTATCCAATACTCATTCACTAAAAAACTCAACGAACTAAGAATGCAAGGTAAACATCCTCAAACTGTTGAAGGTATTTATGAAAAGCATAGTTAAGCCTCATAGTTGCTGCTTTCTATTAATAGGTTAGACTAGAGGTAAAAAAGATGTGGCAGTATGCATATGTACAGATTATAATCTTGAAAATCCTACCCTGTCCTACAGAGTCACTATAAGTTGGAACTGATACAACAGCAAAGAGAATGTTAGTTAATGGTGAATAGTGAGAATCCGAATGTTTTCCCCCAAAAGACTGGGAACAGAAGTCTACCCTAACCCCATAGATTTGACATTATATTGTTCTAGTCCAGTTTATCAAGCAAGGAAAAAGTGAGCGAGAGAAAAATCATTTTGAAATGGGAAAAGTACTATTATTATAGATGACAACCCTATTTATTAAAAAACTTTAGGAACAAAAAAAAATAATTAAAAAAAAAAGAAGAAAGGTGGGGGAAAAAAAAGCAAAAATAAAAAAACAAATTTCTGTATGACATCTATGTTGGCACAAAAAGGCTGAGCTCAGAAGGAAGAGTGGGGAGACTTTGTACTTTCAACACGTCATCAGAAGTATCAGGCTCTGGAAAAATACACTATCTTGGCAAAGTGGATGGTCAGCGAAGCAAAGCAATCGCCAGGTTGACACAGTGGCTGCAAAAAAGGTTTACACAATTGTGAGGCTGGTGCAGGACCGGGGAGTCTGATTCTTTCTCTAGTACATCGAATGGTTATGACTCAGAATGACTCAGACACTTAACAAAATGAAATTAAGAAAATAATCCCATTCTCAATAGCATATATAAAATTAAGAGTTATAAATTTAACAAATGAATTGCCAATTTCATACTCTAAGAACTACAAAGTATTGCTGACAGAAATTACAGGTCTAAATGAGTAGAGAGAATTCGTACTTGAAGGTACATAGATTCAACCCCCTCTTTATAAAAATCCTATCATGTTTTTGGCAGAAATTGACAAGCTGACCCTAAAATTTATATGAAAAAGCAACCCTGAATAGCTAAAACAACTTTAAAAAGGAAAAACCAAGTTGACAGCCTACCATTTCTTGATTTCAAAACTCAACATAAAACTCAGTAAGATGAGTGTGGCCTCACCATGAGAACGGATTTAGGCGTTAATGGAACAGAATTCTAAGTCCAAAAATGAACCACAACAAATCTGATAAAATGGTTAGAAAAATATGCCAAAGCAATTCAAAGAAGCAGAGAATAGATTTTTCAACCAAAATTACTTGGGTAATTGGATATCTCCACTTGTTTAAAAAAAAATTAGAGGCACCCTGATGGTGTCGTGGGCTACGCATTGAACTGCTAAACACACACACACACACACACACACACACACACACACACACACACACACAAACCAATTTAGTCCCTTACTTCACAACATACAAGAAAATTACCTTGAGCTGAATCACAGACACAAATCTGAGAGCTAACACTATACAACTTCTAGGAGAAAACATAGTTGAAGAAAGTATACACGACCTTGAGTTAGGTAAAGATTTCTTCAACACAACACCAAAGGCACGTTCTATAAAAGAAACATTTGATAAATTGGACATTGTTGAAATTAGAAACATTTGTGCTACAAAGACACGATTAAGAAACGAAAAGAACGCCTACAATTCAGTAATAAAAAGAAATTATCCAATTAAAATAATGGACAAAAATGTGAATAGATGTTTTACAAATAAAAATAAAGGAATAGGCAATAAAGTACATGAAGAGATGCTCAGCGTCCAGAAAATGTAAATTACACGCACAATCAGATACTATACTTCATACTCACTGGAATGGCTTAGAATGGGAAACACAGGCCATACTAAATGTTAGTATCTATGTAGAGAACTGGAACCCTCTACAGATGGCAACTTAATTATGGAGCCACTGTGGAAAATAATTTAGCAGTTTCTTTAAAAAGTGAAACAAATTTACCACACAACTCAGCAGTTTCATTCCTAATATTACATCCGAAGAAATATAAGCCAAAGATTATAAATATAACTATAAAAAAGGTAGAAACAACTCAAATTATCTCTTAACTGGTAAAGGGATAAACAAATGTGGTCTATTATATAAGCATATTTGGCAATAAAAAAGATCGAAGTACTAATACGGGTCACCACGGAGATGAACCTCAAGAACATTTTGCTAAGGAAAAGCCAAACACACGAAAGACTATCCTTTGGCCAAGTGGATCCGTATGACATCTCCAAGTCTAGCCGCACATCTCTCCTCAATTCACAAACAGCAACGACAACTACTACACAAGAGCATTTAATTGTACATTAAAAAAACAAACTTATGGCATTTAAGTCATACTTCAATGGGGTTCTTTTAAAAACTTAAGAAGTTCATAGCACCTTGTTACATGACGGAAAACCAAAGAAAAACATCTATAGACTTACCTAACTTATTTTTAAAACCTCATATTCAGAACTATTGACAATCTGGGGAAGAGGATGATGGGGAAATACCTATTTCCTGCTTAATATTCCTCAGTATATTTCTTAATCCTTCACCAGTCTCTCAAACACGGGCACAGGAAAGAGAGGTGGTCTGAGTATCCACTGTGGAATGAGGCAGTCACAACTTGGCCAGGAGAGAGGTGTGGTGCTGGCATCTAGAGGGTGGAGGCCAGGGTACTTGTACAATACCCTACACTGAAGTGCTCTCACAATAAAGAACTATCTGATCAAAATGTCAACAGAGAAAAACCTCAAAAACCTCAAATTATCTCTTAACTGGTAAATGGATAAACAAATGTGGTCTACTATATAAGAATATTTGGCAATAAAAAGGATCAAAGTACTAAGACGGGTCACCATGGAGATGAGCCTCAAGCACATTTTGCTAAGTAAAAGCCAAACACAATAGTGGCAAAATTGAAAGACCCACATTTAGAACAACTGACCTCCATGGTGCTTTTACAACTCAGAAAATCTATTTCTGGCTAGTCTTTCCAGAAGAAGAAAGCAAACATGTATATAGATAATTAAAATAAATGAACCTAGATAATACATGAAGAATAAGGATAAAGAATGATAATTTTTTTTTGTTTTAAAATTAAGCATTTTCAACTAAACCACAATAGACAAAAATTACTTAGGCTAAGCAGCCAAATCTAAAATTCTGGTTAGACTAAAAATGTCAATTTAGTCTATATAGACAAAATCTAAGTCTATTGAGTCTACTGAATTAAGTAAGAAACATATACAGAGCTGTATGTATGTAGTCTTTACTAAATAGACGCCTCTTCAATTCCATCAGATTTAAAATATTAATCAAAGGACTTATACTGATTAACCTAAATATGGAAGACAAACACACAGCTAATATTATTAAATAGAGGGGAGACGTGCTCAGCATACCTACACACCAATCATCACTCAAAGGACACATGAAAATTTGAAGAAAATAGCCGGTGGGGGTTGGGGGGGTAAATGAAGCAGCCAACATTTTAACTAAGGGAATAAGAACCTTCAGCTAAACTAATACAAAAGACCTACTTGCATGTCATCATTACAAAACAATAGATAAATTTTGCTCTTAAAACATGCTCAATAAAACCTTTCAGTTGTATGGCATATTTCTAATAATCACAAATAACGAGGAAGGAGAGAAAAATAAATACCTCAATCCTCCGTTTTGCTTTGTCATAAGCCCTTTCTTCTTTAGTTCGATCATCATCAGAGTCATATTCAGAGTCTGAGCTCATTTCTTTACTTGGCTTTTTATCTAATGTTTTTCCTGCATCTTTCTCATCTGACATCTTTTCATCTTCATCATCCCCTTCACTGCATTCACTTTCTCCTTCCTCTTCTTCATCCTCGTCACTCTCTTCTTCATCTTCCTCCTCTTCTTCCTCCTCTTCAGGATTTTCTTTTACTTCTATAAGTACCGTATTTCCTTCTTTAAGGAAAATAGATTTTAAAATAAAAGTTAAAATGATATATACTTAAATTAAGACACACAGACTTTATAATATAGTATACTTCAAGTATACTAATTAAGGCAGCAACACTACACTGGTATTAATTCCCAATCAATGCCCTATAGCATCATAACTGCAAGGTGTTTGCCTACAGTTATACTGAGGACTGTCACTTCACAGTGAAAAACAAGGTATTAATCCTAATTAACGTTAATTTAAAAAGAAAAACATTACTTAGCCAGGATCTAAACTCCCAAGAATCCTAGGGAGTTAAGTGTACTTGTTAACATTACTCTCCTGGGGGCCACTTGCTGATTCTGAACCAAGCAAAAGTCTAAGCAATACTTTCAATAGACCCTTGGTTACATTGGGGTCGAGGCCTGACAAGGATTAGTGGGAAGAGTGGGTTTCATGTAAGAATAAACATGAGATAAAGAGGACCTCCTCATAATCAGCAGACCACTATAAGATCTCAATCCCAAATAAGGAACACAGATAACCTTCCTGGAAAGCGACAGCATCATTCTTGGCCTCAAATAATTTCTATAGTTCTACATGTGCAATGTTGGGCATATTTATAAGTTAAGAATATGTATTTTGATAAGGCAACCCAAGAGAAAAATTCACATGAGAAAAATCAGCATACAGAAATCCAGAGAGGCTCCATGCATTGAAGTTACAAATTGGTTTTTAAAATGACCATAGAAATACAACTATTTTTCAAATTAATGTACCAACCACTAAGGCTCCAACCAAACTCACTGCCACTGAGTTCAAGCTCACTCAAAGTGACCCTACAAGACAGTGTAGAACTGCCCCAGTAGGTTTCCAAGACTGTAATTCTTCAGAGTAGAAAGCCCTGTCTGTCTCTCTCAAGGGGTTGGTGGTTCAGAACTGCTGACCTTCAGGTTTGCAGCCCAATTCGCAAATACTATGCCACCAGGGCTCCTCCCATTAAGGCTAGTGATGAAGAAATTGAAGAATTCTACCAAAGTCTTCAGTCTGAAATTGAACATATATGCAATAAAAATGCACTGATAATTATTGACAATTCAAATATTAAAGGTGGAAACAAAGAGGAAGGAATAGCAGCTAGAAATTATGGCCTTGGGGACAGATATGAAGCTGGAGACCACATGATAGGATTTTGCAAGACCAACAACTCCACTGAAAATGTGGTATAGCAAAATATCTTGAACATGGCTCTTCTACGCAAATTACTCTAACTCCCACTAAATGACAGGGTAGGAGTACATAAATAGTGCATGTGCTAATAGTAATAGGGGGGATTACTCACTTTTCTTTACTAACCCCCCCTTCCCCACCCCACCTGGATATTAAGGATGATTATCTTTGAAGCAGCAGCGGAGAGAAAACCAAGGAGCACTGGAAGAATGTATTTCAGGTCTGTCTGACACGATGGAAGTTCAGACCAAAAGCACAGACTATGGAACAGAAGACAGTACCGTGAGTAGCTGGACCAGCTGGCATCCTGGCCCATGGAGATAAAGACCAAGGGATCACGTGGCTGAAAAACTGAGGACCAGAAGAGACTTGGCAGCTGGCTGAGGAGAGGTTTTGGCTGTGCACCAGTGACTGGAACCCTCCTATTTGTGGATCCTGACTTCTGGTAACCTGCTAACTTATGTATTAAAAAAACAAAAACAAAAAAAACCTCTGTGGTTTCCAAGGATGTTAATCTTTATGGTAGTAGAAAGCCTCGTGTTTTTTCCCATGGAGCAGCTGGTTGGTTGTTACATGGCTGTTAATCCACTACACCACCAGGGGTCCTTACTTCCCTAATAAACTCCATTCATTGAGAAGCAAACAAACAAGTAGAATGGTCATGTTAACAAAAATAGGCAGAAGATTGAAAACTCTAGAAGAGAATTAGCAACTATAATTCTAATTCTGGAAAATATATACAACTGAAGAACGGCAGTGTAGAATACAAACAGCTGAGCTAAAAGACAGATTAGAGGGGAGAAAATCAGAAAGAATCAGACTCAATAGGGTGGGAAATCCAAAGAGGAAAATAAGGAATAAGAATTCTATACCGTGGACATCATGATTAACTGATATGAAAATGAAAATTTAGGCTAATATCTGACTTCTCAACAGATACAGTAAAAGCTAAAACAAGGAAATAATATCTTCAAATGCTAAAATCTATAAAATGTCAACCTAGGACTGACTCCTTATTCAGTAAATATTCAAGGGGCATCCAAAAACGTTGTCAAAATATGGAATTAAAAGAATAGAATTTCCCCACAAACTTTGAAGTCCCCTCCAGCTCCTATTGTTCAAGAATGAAAATGAATCAATGTGAATTTTAGTAAAGAAAAATGGAATGTCACCACTAATACTGTATTCAGCGTTATTTGCAATTTATTTCCCCCCATCATGCCCTCCTCTTCAAAACACTGAAGTACAATATGCTAACTTTGTCACAGCAACAGGTAAAAAAAATAGTATAGGACACTTAGAAAATTCCCAAGGCACAGTTAGTAAAAACATGAAACCCATACATTAGCTTCATAAAAATGTTGTTGCACACCTGTTAAAATTTAACTGGCAAAAGTTGTGTGAAAGACATATTTACAACAATCAAAAACAATAGCTGTTGAAGATTCTCATGGAATTTAGCTCCCTGTGTGGAGGTTTAAGGTCACAGTTTCACAGGACCTCCCAGTTAACTCGCCTAACAAGCCATTTACTGCCTGTCTTCTACTTCCTAGTTCTTTGTACAGCAGCACCTGGGGTCCTAAAGGTTTTCAAGTGGCCATCCAAGGCCTAACAACCGGTTTCTACTCACCTGGGGCAAAAAAGGAAGGAAAGTCAAGAATGGGGAGGTGGAATTGTGGCTAACAGCCTCCATAAACTGTTTCCTTTCCAATGAAACCAGAAGCATTAGCTACCATTATGGAACATTTTGATTAAAAGGGTGAAATAATAAAATCTCAAATGGTCATGAAATCAAGAATTTTTGGAGCCATCTCGAAGCTGGTAAATCACTGCCCTAAAATAATCTAAGGTCTTTGCATTGTCTGGAAAGAGAATAATATTAAATACTAACAGTCCAAAATTGCATGTTAAAATCTTTAGAGCAACCATTAAACAAAAGCTGAAAAGTACACAAGTTAATAAAAGGGGGTTAAAAAAATCAACAAATTTTTTTAAAAAGCGCAGCCATAAAAAATCTTATTGTGAATGAGGGGGAGTGTGGAGTAGAGACCCAAAGCCCATCTATAGGCAACTGGACATCCTCTTACAGAAGGAACGCAGGGAGGAAACGAGCCAGTCAGGGTGCAGTGTAGCACAGATGAAACACACAACTTTCCTCTAGTTCTTTAATGCTTCCTCCCCTCTACTATCATGATCCCAATTCTACCTTACAAATCCAGCTAGACCAGAGGATATATACACTGGTACAGAAAAGAACCGGAAACACACAGGGAATCCAGGGCAGAAGAATACCTTAGGACCAATAAGAGTAGAGATACCAGGAGGGTAAGGGGAACATGGAGTAGAAAGGGGGAGCCAATCACAATGATCTACACATAACCTCCTTGGGGTTGGACAACAGAAAAGTGGGTGAAGGGAGACATTGGACAGTGTAAGACATGATAAAATAATACTTTATAAATTATCAAGGGTTCCTGAGGGAGGGGAAAAAATGAGAAGCTGATGCCAAGGACTCAAGTAGAAAGAAAATGTTTCAAGAATGATGATGGCAACAAATGTACAAATGTGCTTGACACAATGGATGGATGGATGGATTGTGATAAAAGTTGTAGAAGACCCCAATAAAATGATGTTAAAAAGAAAATTAAATAAAACTGTGCAGAAAAAGGGCATTAGTACAATGATCAAAAAACTTGATCTAAAAAAAATGACCTAAATATAGAAAACAATGTATTCAACAACTTAATCTGTTAATTACACGTGAAATATTTACAATTGACCATCTGTTGGGTTGTAAAGCAAGTTTCAACATAGGAGGGGGTACTAATTTTTTTCAAAGCGAATGTATTTAAGTTTTTTGACAGAACAACTTTATCATTTTCAAAGTACTCTCCATAATCCTTAATACATGTGTCAAATCTGCGATTCCATTCTTAGAAACATTGTTCAAGCCCATCTGTTTGGATGGCTAATAGCACCTCATATCTTTTTTTTTTTTCTTCACCTCTTCTATGTAGTTGTCAAATTGCTGTCTTTTCATGACCCTCTTCAATCATGGAAACGAAAAGAAATCACACGGGAAGCGATGTCAGGTGAGTCAGGTGCATGGGGAATGAGGGGTATGCTGCTTTTTGCAAAATACCACAGAAAATGGCTGTGAGCGAGCACATTGTCTTGGTGGAAAAACCAGTCCCGTCAAGCCTTTTTGTCACACAGTTCAGAACCTCTAAACAGAAAGCGAACAGTCTGACCTGGTAGAATGCACTCCAAATGCACACACATCAAAATAACAAATAAGCACCGTCTTGATCTTTTGATTTCACTTGATGAACTTTTGGGGGGCAAGGTGACGATGGCACCTTCTTTGGCTTGATTGATGTTTTCTTTTCGGGGTTGTAGGAATGTTTTGTCACTAGCAATGATGCTAAGGGAACAAAAGTCTGGGTCGCACTTTTCCTGGTCAGTCAGAACCTGAGCCACAAATTTTGCAGCAACCCTTCTCATTCTTAAATCTTCCATTAAAATTTGCTAAACCGAGCTCCAAGATAATCCAGATAACTTCCCATCTCTTCAATGGTCCATCATTGGTCTTTGACCACAAGTGCATGATATTTGCCTACATTTTCAAATGTTCGGGAAGTTGACGGACATCCAGAACAGGGTTTGCCATCAATCCCCATTTCACCTTTTTGAAATGAGAAATTCACTTATACTTGAGTTTTTCCCATAGCACTTGTAAGTTGTGTTCAACATTACAATAATTTCTGTGGCATTTTTCCTGAGCAGGAAACAAAATTTCACATCTGCACACTGTTCTCTTAAATCAGCCATCACAAAAAATGAGGTTTGAGCAAAACTGCTATTGTAAAAAAATTCACTGTGACCAGAGAACCTTTTCAGGCAACACCACCAGGTGCACTAACTCACAGCGAGTTGCTCAATGCTCTCCTAGTGGGGAAAATACATTCTAAGAAAGCAGAGCTTATTCCGGTTTGGGGAGGGTACCCTCTTGTATTTCAAAGGACAGACTCATGTTCTCTGATGATGATGAAGCAGTAAAAAAAAAATTAGAAAATTCTCACTTTTGGAAGTTAAAAAATGCATGTCTCTGTAAATAAAAGTTTACGCCAAAGTTAAGATATCAAAATAGAAATGAGAAAATGGAAGCATAACAAAACTTGTGGAATTTGGCTAGAACCAAGCTTAATGAAAAACATATGGCACTGTACAGTAAGAAAAAACACTGACCATCCTTCTAAAAAATTGAGGGGAAAACCCAAAACCCACCTGAGCCCTACAACCCCACAATTAAACCCAAAGAAAGTAGAGATTTAAGGCATAAAGTATAGAAAGTAATGAATAATACTTTTTATTCCTAGTGATAAGCAACTATGTATTACATCTGTGTTATATTTTAAGGTAAAGATTGTGTAGGCTACTTTAATATCTAATCTCATTTATCACTCTGCGGAAATGCTCTATAATAACCCCACGTTAACTACCTTAGAAAGAACCTCAAGATCTATTCATTCTCAAAATGAGAATTCGTGTAAGGGTTTAAGAACCATGGAAAGGGAGAATAAAATTGGTTCATATGCCTAAGAACCTTCTGAGGGCTTTCAAAATAAACAGATGTACGAATAATTTAAATACACATCCACCTATATGCACTCGATTTGCTAGCATGTGCGTATGAGCTAGTCACCTTTTTCTCTCTCCTCGTCACTAGCCATTGCTTCCCAATCATCCAATCCAGTGTCCTCATTTACTTCTTCCTCTTCTGTAAATAAAAGTTTTCATTAAAAGAACAGAATTTACCTAGAAATATGATTGCTTTCAGACAAGTAAAAAAATTAGTGCTCACATATACAATTTTATTAGAGAAATGTTTTAATGATAATTTCATTATCTTTGGAATTATGTTTGCAATATAGATAGCATGTCACAATTTACTAATACCAAATGCTTATTAAACATTTCCTACCAACTATTTTGGGTATAATCGACATAACCCATAGTTCACATTTACAGTAGATAAAATATTGACACACATTGAAATGTTCCTATAAAAAGATGTTCCTATAGATGTCAAAATGCATTATTTTTATTTACGGCAAATAAAATGTCAAATATACTTTAAATCTTTCAACTCATATGATGAAATAAGAATTTATAACTTATTTTACTTTATCTTCTACAAATATATTTAAATATTTGCACTCCAAAGTCATAGATTCAAAACTGCCATTTCTCCATTTCAAAGTAACAATGCTGTTCTTAAAATAAAAAAATAGCCATAAAGTTAAACTTTTGAATATATATTAATTAAACATTCTATACAGTTCCTTACCAAAAATGATTCATCTTAGTAAAATCCAAAAGGACAAAGACTATTTTTAATGAAAAAAGGGAAAGGGTGGGGCATGGGATAACTGCTCCCTGCAGCAACTTTTATTTACCAACTAGTTTGGATGCATCAGGTTAAGGAAGAAATAAGACTCAGAAACCTGTACCTAAAATATCCTTCAAAACTAGCAATTACTCTGGTGGTATGAACATGACTTAAACACACCCAGAGACAATATATATATTGAGTGTGACTTCACAGTCTTTCTTTTAAGAATTTTAAGGATCAATTTTTATGATTCTTAAAAAGTTCTAATTAAGGATGTTTTCAATTTGCTTCTAAGGCACTAAATAAAGTAGTTCAGGTCTTATCGGACCCACCTAAAGTTTGACACATAAATAAAAACATCAGAGAAAACCAAAACCCTCTACACAATATTTTGTTAACACCACTAAAAATTGTAATTTGATTCAAGTCTCTCTTCCATACCTTTTAAAAACAAATGTAAAGAAATGAAAAGGGTTTAAAGAAAAGAGAAGGCTGCCTCTGCCAGATATTTGGCTCCTCATGTTGTTTAATGATAACTATGACAAATCAAAGTCATTTAATAGAAAATAATTTGTCAGTTGACTATCAATACTGGCCTGGTTCAGCAGCAGGTGGTATCTCTTTGTCTTGTACTTCTTCTTCCACTTCTACAGCAGAACTTAATTCTATCTGTTCAGACACTGGGGGGAAAAGGATAGAAACCAAGGTAATGGTATGTTTTCAATAATTTCTATAAGATACTTCGTTAAGTGTCAAATAAAAACTAGTAGAAGTACAAATTTTATTTTTCCAACAAGTTTAAAAAGTCTATCAGTCACATGTTTTATAAGACCCAGTCCTTCTAAGGAATAAAATGTAAAGCTACAAAAGGTTAAAAAGTTTTTTTAAAGTGTTAACGTTTTTGCTTTTCAGAGTAATTATTATTCCGTGTAGGAGCATGATATTCCAAAGGAAAGTACCTTTCCATTAGTCTACCATCTGACTCAGGTGAGAAGACAACAGTAATAGGAAGAAGGTCTGTAATAACTATGTTTCAATATGCATTTCAACCTTGGTGATTTGTTTTTAAAAGACAGGTTTTGAAAGTCGTGGGGCAACAGGCAACAGGATAGTTTCCTAGTCAAGGCCTGTTACATACAAACCTTCCTTATTTTCTAGCTGTGGACTTTTTTTCTTTTTTTTATCTTCATAAATTGGCCTTTTCTTTGGCAAAGAGTCTTTTGATGGCACTTCAACACCTGAGGGATCAAAAAAGGAAAAGTTCAGGTTTACACTATTGAATATCATCTCAAAAGCATCATCTAAAAAGAGATCATGAGTTGTTCAGAGACATATGCTAAAATATAGACTACTCATTTTAAAAACGATCTGTTCTATAAACTGTTTTCACATACCATATAAATAAATGTGCACCAGCACCACGATGAAGATGCAGAACAGTTCCTTCTGAGTGTGCTGTCCAGCCCTTCTTACACTCCTGACCCGGCTCTACTGATCTGCATCCCGAAATGTCACAAAAATGCAATCTTCTAGTCTGACTCCTCTTACTGTAATCATTTTGAGATGCAGTTACGATTGTTGCACCTATCAATACTTTCTTTTTATTGATCAGTAGCTTTTATTGTGGATATACTGTGGTTTGTTTTTCCCTTTCAAGAGCTGACGGACATCTGAAACATTTCCAGTTTGGGGCAATTATGAAAAAGCTACTATGAAATTTTATGTGCAGATTCTTCCCCAAGGTAATACCCTTAAGACTAGGGCTGATGGGTAAATATGTGTTTAACTACAAAATATATTCCAGTGCCTAAATCTACCATTTTACCGTCCCACCAGCAATGCATGGAAATTTCAACTGCCCTGCATCCTTGCTTGCATTTAGTTAAGACTGAACTTTTCCTTCATTTACATATTCTAAACACTGGGATTTTTGTTTTATTCTCTCTAGTGACTAATGAGGTTGAGATTTCTTGGCTATATTTTCTTTCATGAGATGTCTATTCAGGTTTTTTTGGCCAATTTTTAAGTTCATATGTTGCTTTTCTTACTGGTGAATTTTAAGAGATCTTCAAATATTCAAGATATTGGTCACATGTCATATATGTGTTTTGCAGGTATTTTCTCCCAGTCTGTATGTTGTCATTAAATTCTCCTACAGATGTCTTTTGCAGATCAAGTTTTTAATTGGATTTCAACAAGACGTAGCAATTTTTTCTTTTATACATCATTTTTGGAGCCATAGCTAAGCACTCTTTGCCGAATACATCACAAATATTTTCCTCTAAAATCTTTAGTTCTATGATCCATTTTGAGTTTGTGTGAGATGTAAAATGAGGCTATGATGTTTACTTTTTATATATATGTCCATTGATCTCAATACCACTTGTTGCAAAGGCTTTAATGTCTCCATTAAATTTCCTTTTACCTAACCAAAAATGACTGTATACAGTCTAGACTTTATTCTGTTCCACTGACCTGTCTCTAATCTTTCACCGATACCACACACTGTTAAGATTACAAATTCTTGTTAGCCCACTGTTCAAATCCTCAACTACTAACCAAAAGATAGGCAGCTCAAACTCTCTAGCCACTCTAAGGATAAAGATATAGCAGTTAAGTTTTTGCAAAGATTACAGCCTAGAAGACTCTTGGGGTAAGGGCACTACTAGTCAGAATCAACTCACTAGCAATGGAGTTAGACCACCTACTGCAGCTTTATAGTAAGTCTAAACATCAGGTTGTATACTACCCCAAGTTTGTTTTCCTTCTTCAAAAATATTTTACAACCAACTTCTGTTGACAGGAACCCTAGTGGCACTGTGGGCTAGACAAGCTGCTAAGCAAAGCTCAAACTGTCTGCTAGGGGAAAAGGAGACGTTCTGCACCCATAGCCTCTCCGCCTTGAGAAAGAAACCTCTGTAAAGGTCTGTTTGAGTCCGAGTCCCTTCAGTGGCTGAAGATTTGGTTTTGGTTGGTAAATTCTAAAATTGGCTTGTAAAATGTGGTGAAAAAAGCGGACGGTGCCCAACTATCAAAAGCTATAGTGTCTGGGGTCTTAAAGACTTGTAATTAAACAAGTGGCCATCTAGCAGGGAAGCAACAAAGTCCACATGGAAGAAGCACACCAGTCTGTGTGATCATAAGATGTCGACAGGAAGAGGTATCAGACGTTCAAAAACACACAACCAACTCAATGTGAAGGGGCATGTATGTAATAGAGACCCAACGCTCATCTGCCGAGTAACTGGACAGTCCCTCTCGGAAGGGCCACACAGAATGGATGGTAAATCCAGGGTGCAGTGTGGCACCAATGAACCACAGAACTATCCTTTAGTTACTCAAAATTTCTTCCTCTTACTATCAAGGTCAACAACAGAATTGAGTATTGTATGTGAATAGATATATTGGATAGTGTAAGATATGTCAATAGAATTATTAAACAAAATTGGCTTGTAAATAGCACAAAAGATCCTGCTGTGACTTTGATTTGGACTGTACTGAATCTAGAGAGCAATTGGGGCAAACACCTTGAAAACGAGTTTTCCAATCTATGAGCATATTTCTCCATCATCAATGTTTTATAGTTTTCAGCATACAGATACTAAATTAAATGTATGACTTTTAATTTTTTTCTTTTGTTAATTTCATTTTCTGTCCCTTTGTTGGGCTGCTACAGTTTTGTTTTTAATATTGCTTCCCAGTTGCTAATTGCAAACATATAGAAACACAATTGCTATCTGCACCTGGGGTTTGTATTTTACAACCTTGTTGGGTCTAGTCCAAGTTCATTGACTCCTTCCTCTGCCATCTCCATTTTCCACTTTTTTTTTAACTTCAAATTATTTTTCAGTTATGAGACTTCCCATTCTTTTAATCCTGCCATCTTTTCTTTTGTATCTGCAGTATTAACTTCTCCCTCACAGAGGATGGTTACAATTACAAGCCTCCACTATCTGGGTCCTCTTGGGTTTGAGATGTGTTATGTTCCCCTTGATTACTGGTTGGATTTTTCTGGTTCTTTGTATATTGATATCCTGTATTGTTTCGAGACAGTGTTACTAAAATTGTGTTGGTAAGGATGAGATTTTTCTCTTAGCAGGTAGTCAAGGGTGTTAGGTTCCGTCTAAATTCTGCCTTGCCTTTTGTATGCAGTGGCTGAGTTTTCAAAGCCTTTGCTATGTTTGGGTATGCCTGGCACATGAGCCACTCAAAAGTAAGTCTGGGAAGTGGGACAACAGTTTATATCACTGTTCAGTTCTTGATGCTTCAGCTATGCTTCTTTGGGTCTGGTTCCAAGTACCACAGCTCAATGGTGAGTCTGGGAGTATGCCAATTCATAAACACAATCAGAGGATCCTCTTTCTCAATGTTTCTTCTCTTCGCAGTTTTCCTATATCCTCTGGCTCCCAATAGTCCCTCTTTCTGGATTCTCTAGCCACAGAAATGAGGTTCTCTCAGAATTTTCATCCTCCAAGGTGGTTGTATTATCTTCAAAGGACTGCGTTTTGGCCAAAATGAGAAGAAAAAAAAAAAAGTTCTCCCAAACCCTTTGGCCAGTACAGAACCTTTTAGGCACCTCTGCTCTGGTCAATGATCCTGACGAGGGGCAAGGTGAGGAAAAAAAGGTATGAAAAATCGCTTCCCACCCATTGCCATGGGGTAATCCCTTTTCCTGGTCATCTAGGGGGCTTTCTTCCGAAGATTTTGTTGTCAGTGCTCACTGCACTTCCAGAATTTGGCCCACTCTAAGGGCAAAACAGAGGAAGGAGATGGAAAGCCAGAGCTCACTCATTATGGGTTGGTACTCAAATGTTGACTCTTCTTCCCAGGCTACTTGATATTATTTACTTGCCATAGACCTGAGGTAGCTGATCTTTATATTCAGTCTAGAGCATATAATCATAGCAAAGAGAATAACTATAGTCAGCTCATTCCATCTTGTACAGCACCATAAAGCAGAAATGGAGCATAAATTTTAACAAACACAATGCATGTCTGGAAAAAGTAGTGAAAAGTTCAAGTTTTACATTCAAGTCAAAATATGGTTTACTAAATGGACTTTTGTTTTGTTACAAACACTGGGAAACACTGTTAAGAATAAGGGACTCTGGATAGATACCATTTGAGTGGCCACCTGCTCAAAGTCTTTCCTAAAGACTGATGCATGGAGTTAAATGGAACTTTTCATCTGATTACCACAACTATAAATGCAACTAGTAAGTAGGCCTGCATTTGTAAGATTAACAAATTACTTCTTGCTTGACTCCATTCAAATTTCTTCATGAGTAATTCTAATCTTTCCTTAAGTATCAGTTAAATCTGGTATGTGGGTATACTAAACTATACTCAAATTCATTTTCTAATTTCATGTTTCTCTACACTTACTACCAACTGTCAACCATAGGATGTATAATTAAGAGGTGGCCACACAGAACAACTTAAATCTCAGCAGTATGAGGTTGGGCAAACTGCTTAAGCTGAGTTTCCAGTTCCTCATTTATATAATAGGAATTAAAATATTTTTAAGATTTTTATGAGGAAAAAAAAGGACAATGTCAAAGGTTTATTGTAGCATGAGTTGTGTAATAAGTACATAATAAGCAGGGGTTGTTACCGTAATTATAGTTATCAATATAACTATAATAAAAACTGCTGATCTTTGGGTTAGCAGCTGAGTGCTTTAAACACTGGGCCACCAGGGCTTCTGATATGGCTAAGAGATCCTAATATATCTTGTGCTATGGAGTAAAGAAACTATTAGAGCATCTCACATGTCAAACACACAATTATATGCTTAGATTGTGGTTTCTTAATAACTTTCAAAAAAAAAAAGAAACAGGATCTCGTGGGGAAGTGACTGATTTCAGGTCTAGGGCTTGCCACAAAGATAAACTTAGCTAGGGTCAAAAAAGGCAAGAAAGAGTTTAAGGACACTGTAGCCATATCAGAAGCCCTGGTGGCCCAGTGTTTAAAGCACTCAGCTGCTAACCCAAAGATCAGCAGTTCAAACCTAAAAGCCACTCTGTGGGAGAAAGACATAAACCTCCTCTACAAAGATTTTGACTTCCAGTCTCAACCTGATTGCTTGGAAACACTATGGGGCATACTTCTTTTTTCTGCCTGATAGGGTTCCCATGGGTTACAATCAACTCAATGGCACTGGGTGAGGTTTTTGTTTTGTTTTGGTGGCTATGTCAAAAGGTCACACAAACCATGGCTCCCCTAAGGTCAAAGATAAGACAATTTTAGTATTAAAACCATTCATGGCTTCAGTAGATTAATAGGCATGTATTATATTTTAAAAAATTGTCTTGGAAGAAGTACAGTCAAAATACACCTGAGAAGTGAGGATGACAAGACTTCATCCCAGGTACGTTGTACATGTTTTCAGGAAGATACTAGTCCCTGGAAAAGGACATCAAGTAGAGGGTCTGTGAAAAAGAGGAAGACCCTCAATGAGATGAAATGGTACAATGACTGCACATAACAACTGTGAGGATGATAAAGAGTTAACAGTGTTTTGTTCTGTTGCACAGAGGATTGCTATGAATCAGAACCAACTTGATAGTCACTAACAACACCAACTGTATAAAAGTCCATTAGAGTAAACACAATACTCAGTGAAAAACAAAATTTAGCTCATTCATCACCTTTTGAAATAGCCAGTTACAGCAAGCCTACGGACAACAGTAGACTGCTATTTCTTCTTCATAGCCTACGCTAGGTTGGAAAAGTCACTGAAACCTACCCACCATGGTGACCCTGCTGGTATTTGAAATACTAGTGGCACACCTTCCAGCATCACAGCAACATACAACCACAGTATAAGAAACTGATAGATAAGTATTAGTGGAAGTTGCTACAGCCTTATTATTTTGAAATTCACAAATATAAGGGGAAAGGCAGCTTTTAACTTGCTCACATATATAAGGGGAAAGGCAGCTTTTATCTTGCCTTTCCTGTATAAACTGTATCTCAAGGGCAATTTTTCGTTAGAGAAAGATTTTAGCTAACAAATGGAGAAGGAATAAAAGAATTAGAGGATCATCATTCTGTATTCCCCATGAAATACTAGATATAGGTAGTGATCACCAATAGATTTTAAAACTGCTGGATTAAAAAGTCAATGGGAGATTTTTATAATTGACAACTCTGCCAATAATTTAAATGTTAATATTTACATCTTAAGTGAAAGTAGCAAATCATGCGCCTCCTGAAATAAAGTACCATGCTTCTACATCTAAGAAATTATAAGGATTAGTATATTAACCAACATCAAGAGAATGCAATTAGACAAATCTAGAACATAAGAAATTCTAGAAAACAAAGATACAATATCTTTATCAAATAAGTGGCTGCCATAAAAACAAAGGGAGAATTGGAGAAAGAGAGATGGACCAGACTTCAACCCGGTGCACCAAGACATGAATGCAACATACCAGCATGAAGTAGGGAACCAACAGGGCGGTCTGCGGGCCAGCCCCAATCCCAACTACGTGGACCCCTCCCAACCCCACCAGAAAAATGCACTTCAGAGGACAGCACTGACGCTACAGCTCAGGGAGAGGGGTATATCTGATCAGAGGACACAGGAGCAAACAGAAGGAAGGAGAGTAGAATACATGTGGCTCACCACGCCCCGATGACAATATTCCTGCTCCGAGCAGCCAATGCACAAAGAGGACCATAGGGCCAGCCCCACCAAGAGACATGATGTCCCTCACTGACCCATAATGCTAGGAGGACAACACTGGAGACACAGTGTGGGAATTGCACCCAATCTGACCCCACCACACCAGGCAAAACAGTACGGGCATGCAACAGCGCAGCAAGGGGAGCAAAGCAATGAAGTCCCTGGGGAGAACCAAAAATAGACTTTGGGTGCAAGACGCAGCACTCCATCAGACTAGACCAGAAAACACTCCTAAAGGTCAACAAACAGAGCTGGAGCTATTTATATTTATAGGCATTCCTATTTTTTGTTTTGTTTTGTCTTGTTTTTGTGCTTATTATTGTCTCTGCACGTCTAGCTAGATAAAATAGGTAGAATAAACAATCTAGAGGAGAAAACAACGGGACCAATGGTTCCGGGGGGACAGGGGAGTGGGAGAGGCAGGGGAAAGGAAGGGGAGTGTCAAATCCACGGACAAGGGAACAACAAGTGATTTAAATGGATGAGGAGGAGGGTGTCGGAAGCCTAGTGGGGCTTGATCAAGGGCAATGTAGTGAAGAGGAATTAGTGAAACCCAAATGAAGGCTGAACATGATACTGGGACAAGAGGAAAGTAAAAGGAAACAGAAGAAAGAATAGGAGGCAAAGGGCATTTGTAGAGGTTTAAATACAAGCATATATATATACATATATATATATAAAACAATAGGGAAATAGATATATATGCATATACTTATATGTTAAGTATTAAAGGTAGCAGAGGGACTTTGGGCCTCTTCAAGTACTCCCTGAATGCAAGAACACTTTGTTCTAATAACCCGGCACTCTGTGATGCTCACCTTCTCTGACATGATTGCTGAAGACAAAATGGGTGCATAAGCAAATGTGGTGAAGAAAACTGATGGTGCCCAGATATCAAAAGATATAGCACCTGGAGTCTTAAAGGCTTGAAGGTAAACAAGCAGTCATCTGGCAGAGAAGCAACTAAGTCCACATGGAAGAAACACACCAGACTGTGCGATCATGAAGTGTCAATGGGATCAAATGACAGGCATCAAAGACTCAGAACAAAAAAAATCATATAGATGTGAATGAGGGGAACATGGGTAGTGACCCAAAGCCTATCTGTAGACAATTGTACATCCCCTCACAGAAGGGTCACAAGAAGAGAAGAGTCAGTCAAGGATCAATATAGGACCGACGAAACATATAACTTAACCTCTAATTCTTTAATGCTTCTTTCCCCCCACTATCATGACCCCAATTCTACCTTACAAATCCAGCAAGACCAGAGCATGTACACTGGTACAGCTAAGAGCTCACAACACAGGGAATCCAGGACAGATAAACCCCTCAGGAACTGATACCAAGGGCTCAAATAGAAAGAAAATATTTTGAAGGTGATGATGGCAATATAGGAACAAATGTGCTGGACACAATGAATGTATGTATGGGTTGTGGTAAGAGCTGTTAAGAGCCCCCAATAAAATGATTTTTTAAAAATGAGAGGAGGGTGTGAAGACTATTAGTGGCTACAGATTTAAAGATGTATGTGTCTATGTACCTATGTATGTATGTGTGTGTATGTATATATCAACCGAATGTAATGCGTTTCTAATCTGGATCCTAATATAAAAGACATTTTGGAGACAAGTGGAAAAAATAAAACATCTGAAAACTAAATATCAAGGAATTGATGAATTTTCTTAGATGTAAAAATTCCTCAATCTATGTTAAAAAGTAAATGTTATTATTTGTTAAATGATACATACATATGTACTCAGGGAAAAATACAGGAACTGGATTTGCTTTAAAATATTCCAGGCAAAAGGGAGCAGGGTAGTCCCAGAACAGCAAATATTAATAGTTATTGAAACCAGATACATAAAAACTCATTTTACTTGTTTCTCAAATTTTTGTTCATGTTCATTTGACACCGTATTATTTATATAAAGACTTTTGTCATCTTGCAATTAAAATCATCCTAAACAATGAAACTATATCATCTTTTTTATACTCCTAGGAACCCTGGTGGTGTAGTGGTTATGTGTTGGGCTGCAATCTGTAAGGTCAGTAGTTCAAAATCACCAGTGGCCCCACAAGGAAAAGAAGGGGCTTTTTATTCCTGTAAACCAGTAACAGTCTCAGAAACTCACAGGGGGAGTTCTAGCCTGCCCTATAGGGTCACTCCAAGTCAATATTGACTCAATGGCAGTGAATGTGTATGTGCTTTTCTTATACTTTTATTAGATAGCTTATAGATTACTCAACTAATTAAGAATCCTTACCCTGAGCTTGCAGAAGTTTAAGGGTAGCTTCAGCTCTGGCTCTGGCTTCTCGCTGAGATTTAGTTAGAAGTTTCCCTTCTTTTTTCAAACGTTCTTTTCTTTCCTTTTCTTTTTGCTTTTTCCTTTCTCTTTTTTCTTGTTCCAATCGTTCCTATAAAGAGGCCATGTTAGATAAAAATTTTAACAGCTTAATGGATTACAAAATGTAAACAACTCCAACTTTAAACAAAGCTCTTAAGATACATATAAAGCATTCTGCTAGGATATTCCAAATTAAAATATTTTAAAGGGTATACGCAACCATTATTAATACCATTTGAGAGTAGACTATGAGATATAAGCAACTTTATATCTGAAGAAGTATAGGATTCTCTGTACTTCATCTTATCATGTATATCAGAACAAGTAAAACTGTAAAATTCATAAGCAGAAGCTTAGAGATAATGTATAGAGAAGAGATTTTAAGTTAAATACAGTATCAGTGGTAGCACTTCATAAAATATACCTCTTCTTTGCGCTTGGCTTCTAATTCTTCAAGACGCTTTATCCGTTCTTCCTCTTCCCTCTTCTGTCTTTCTTCTTCTTCTTTAAGCTTAGCCAGAGCTTCTTGCATCGCTTTAACTGTGGCTTTGCTAGGTCCTTTCTTCTTCTCTTTCTCTTTCTCTTCCTTTTCCCCTTTCTTTTTCTTCTTATCTTTTTTCTTTTTGTCTCCTTCAGTGTCATCTATCAAAACAAAATAGGAGCAGTGTTTTTTAAGGGAAAAAGGTCATTTCCTAAGGCAATACCAAACCAATCCCAGAAGTCAAAAACCATAACAAGCAGTAAACAAGCTCCCCTCCGCATCAGAATCTCTGAGTGAGCCAGAACAGCACAGAGTATCACATCAAAGTTACAATGTTGGACTCTTTGTTCTGAACTGATGAAAGAAGACATCAGTATGAGAAGGAAATCCCATTTGGGGGAGAGCAATATTGCATCTAAAGGAATTCTTGGTGTCTGAACAGAATAGCTGGCACATGACAGATGCCCAGCAGAAGTTGTTAACAAATAGAATGAACCTGGTACAGCTCCTAGATTCACTTCTGTAATAGAATAATGAGGATGGTACCACCTTATGGGACCATTTGGAATATAAAACATAAGTTTCAGTGATTATATTCTAAGATCTCTATGGCATTATGCAAAACAATTAAAGACTATACAATTATTTTCATGCTGTTTCTCGTAAACATGTCCAAATTATCAAAACAGTGGTTAGAAAAGTCATGTTTGTTTTACATTAAGAATCCTTTAAAGAAAAATTACTGACTTTCTACACACAGTGGTTAACTGTGTCAAGTCAGTACCAACTCCTGACAACCCAAGCACTGCAGAGAACTGCTTGCTCCATAGAATGTTCATCCTGTACATTGATAGAAGCAGTTCTCCAGGCATTTCTTCCAAAGTGGCTATGTGAGTCCAATCTGCCAATCAGCATCCTATAGCACACCACTTGCATCAAGCAGGCTCTTTATATAATCTATTCGTGGTATATTATTTTTATATCCATACTTATTTTCATTCTGATTAGGGGAGGGAAATTGGGTTAGGAAGCTTATTTTTCCTTAATTGGTTCTGGTACAAAACATGACTCATTCTAGCTTAAAAGGATATTAACTAAATTTAGCACATTATTCATAGCATTCATGAAATTAAACTGGATTTTTAAAAGACAAATGAATTCAAAGATATTATCTGCCACTTAGCTATCAAAAAGAATGAACATTTTAATAGGCATTTCCCAGTCTGTATTGACAACAGGTATTTTTCACAGTGAAATTCTATAAAAATTCTAATCTATGCATAGAGTCTTTGAAAGACACTGTAAACACATTAAATGTTTAACAATGAGAATCAATTCAAAGAATACTCAAATTTAGTATCTTAAAGGTTTCTTACAAATAAGTACTTTTAAGACCAATAAGAAACAAAATGCTGTTGAGGTATAATGATCAAACTGTAGACAGTGAGAATCAAAAGCCTTTTATTCTTTCCCCTGTACTACCAACCTTCTGCCGCAGTGGGAGTCTCTCCTTTGTCTTCTGAGGCAGGTGTTGCTCCAGCTTCTAGACTGACTTTGGATTTTAAAGGCTCCTCTTCAGGTTTCTTCTGAGATTCTTTTAGTTTGCTTGCATCTTTTTTACCTGTTTCCAATTCCTCTTTTTCTTTCAGCTTCCGAAGCTTTGCCTTTTCTTCATCTCTCTTTTTCCTCTCACGTTCTTTTTTCTCTGCCTTCTTTTGGGCCACTGTTTTAATTTTGAAGGAGGCATCTTCATCTTCATTTCCACTCTCTACACTAGAGCCTGGCTTGTTCTTTTGATTTTTTTTCTGTCCTTTTCTAGGCTGCAAAAATTCATCGGATTCATCACCACTTTCACCTGAAGAATTTACTCTGGAAAGTTCTTTAGTTCTTCTACTGTTATCTTCATCCTCTTCTGAACCATCCCAATTTTTATTTGATTTCTGAACTTTCCCTTTAACTTTTCTAGAGATTTTATTAAAATCATCATCATCATCACTCCCAGAATACGTTTCCACTTTTGGTTTTGCAGTCTTTTTTGACTTTGAATCTTTATCTTCCAATTCTTCATTATCATTATCATCAAAACTTTGTTTTTTGCCCTTCTGTCCTCTCTTTTTTTTCTCTTGCTTTAAGGTGGGCTCTTCTTCATTATTTTCTGTTGGCTAAAAAATTTCCAGCATTAGCAATATCAACAGAAGTACATAAATATATTTTCTTTTCTAAAGTCATCTAATCCCTTCAGAACCATGTGCTTCATGAAGCATATAGGGGAGAGGGGGAAAAGTTCCTTTTTACACGCATACAAATATCAACCCGGTACCAGAAGATAGCTTAGGTCTCAGACATATCTTACATTCACCACAAATTTCAGAATACAAATGGCTCTGAAGATAAGCACTAACCCCAGACCACGTTCATGACCTTCTTCTAATGCCATGGAAAACCTAAGGGGATTCTGGAAAGGGGAAAAAACCCTGCTACTATGTTCTCATTACTTTAAGGTTTACCCAAATTAAAAAAATAAAAAGCAATATAGAAAATTGGGGATGGAGATGAAAGGATTTAACACCTTCCTCCACCAGAATATTTTTGTCATCTTATAATCATCTTCAAAAGTACTAATTTTATGAACAAGTAACATGCCACAACATACTTCTGGATTATTTCTTTCCTGAAAATGATTTCACTGTTTTGGCATCAGAATTTTATAAACTTCTAAAAAGCATCAAAAAGCATCTGAATGCAGCTCCCCAAAACAGGTCTAGGAAACATGAATGACATGAATGAGAACAGACTCTGTCTTTTACCTTTACCGTGGCAGTTTCTCTGTCCGGTTTGATGCCTTGAGTCTCTAGAGACAATTCTTCCAATTCTTTCTGGATATCATCTTCACTAGAAAAGGATTAAAATATATTTAGAGGCATTGGATTAGTTTAATAAGTAAATCCAATACCAAAGCTGATAAAAATCAAATATATTTAATATATACTTACTCAAAGTCTTGCCTTTTTTTCTCCCTCTTCTTTTTCCCCTTTGACTTTGAAGGCTCCTGTTCCTTGGCAGCACCAGCTCCTTCTATTTCTGCAGCCAAGGCATCAAGATCAATATCATCCTTGGCACTTCAATAAAAACAAAGAGGACCTAATTGTTACTCACGATAATCTATCATGTACACATACAAAAGAATTTTCATCATTTTGACCTTTTAAATACATTAGCATCCATGAACAAAACTCCTATGACACAAGTTGTATTTACTTATCAGCATCAGTCAAGTTTCTGTCTTCAATCAGACAGTTATAAAGAACTAAAAAAAAAAAACCCTAGGCAATCAATACACACAAATTAATGTCTATGATAATAAAAATTTTTGTTATGTCTGAAGGGAGTTATTTATAAAATTGAGAGAACTTATAAAACTGGCCTTGTGAAGCACTCATGCATAGGACAACAATCGATCTCGATTTGCCTGGAGCAACAGAGGAAAAAGGAAAAGTCAGGAATGGAAGGAGGGCATGAACTAAATGGCTGTCTTCTCATCCAACTTCCCCCTTTGTCAAGGGACCAAGAGAACGTGGATGGTGCCCACATATCACTACTAAAATATCTGATAAAAGATTCTATAGAATTCTCATCAACAGGAGAATAAATACAGAACAGAATCTAGAACCATGCAGGCTGGATTGACTCCAGAAACTATAGCCCTGAGATAATAATTAAAACTTAAACCAAAAGCATCCCTTTAAGTATTTTTAAAACCAAGTGATAGCTTAGCTTAACTAGAAAGAATATCTGTCATGTGCACTACACTCTTTTAAGATCTATTGTTGTTACCTACAGTGGAGTCAATTCCAATTTAGGAACTCATGACAGAATAAACTGCCCCTAGGACTTTCTAGGTTGTAATTTTCACAAGAGCATAGTGTAACATAGTGTAACATCTTATTAAACTGACAACAGCAACTCAAAAGACTAGATGAGACACATTTGGAACGCTCAGTTTATATAAAAGGGGGATGGAATAACTCAGAAAAGGAGGATAAAAGTGATTTCAGAAAGCTGAAGAAGCACTGGACGCACTCAATCGTCTATGCCAGGAAGTTTTAAAGACAGTTATCTGGCCAAGTGACGGGAAGAGATCCTATTTGTGCCCATTCCAAAGAAATGTGACCCAAAAGAAAACTCAAACTATAGTATGACAACATTGATATCACACACAATTAAAATTTGCTTAAGATCATCCAACAACACAGATACACAGCACACTGACACGGAACTGCCAGAAGTTCAGGCAAGATTCAGAAGAAGGCATGGAACAAAAGGATAGCATTGCAGATGTCAGATGGACCTTGGTTGAAAGCAGAGGACACCAGAAAGATGTTTATTTGTATTTCACTGGCTATGCAAAGGCATTCAACTGTGTGGACCATAATAAACCATGGAAATAAACTTGAAAAAGAATGGGTATTCCAGAACACATCGTTGTGCTTATTCAGAACGTGTACATGGATGGATCAAGAGGTAGTTGTGAACAGAACAAGGGAGTACGGCATGGTTTAAAATCAGGAAAAGTGTGTGTCAAGGTTGTATCCTTTCACCATACTTGTCTTTCACCAATCTGTATGCTGAGCAAATCATCAGAGAATCTGGCTTTTATGAAGAAGAACATGGCATCAGGATTAGAGGAAGACTTATTAACAACCCGAGGTAAGCAGATGACACAACTTTGCTTGCTGAAAGTGTGAAGGAATTGAAGCACTTGCTGCTGAATATCAAGGATGGTAGTCCTCTTCAGTATGGATTACAACTCAATGTAGAGGAAACCAAAATCCTCATAACTGGACCAATAGGTAACATCATAATAAATGGAGAAAAGGTTGAAGTTGTCAAGGATTTTGTGTTAAGTGGATCCACAATCAATGCTCATGAAAGCAGCAGACAAGAGATCAAAAGATGTATTACATTAGGAAAGTCTGCAGCACAAAATCTCTTTAGGGTACTGAAGACCAAGGATGTAGCTTTGAGGATTAAGGTGCACCTGACCCAAGCTATGGTACTCTCCATTGTACCACATGTATATGAAAGTTGGATATTGAATAAGGAAGGTCATAGAAGAATTGGTGCACTTGAATTGTGGTGCTACAGAAGAATATGAATGTATCATGGATGGCTAAAAGAACAAATCAATCTGTGATGGAAGAAGTTAGGCTAGAGTGCTCCTTAGAGGCAAAGATGGCAAGATTTCGTCTTACATCCTTCGGAGATACTGTCAGGAGAGACCAGTGCCTGGAGAAGGACCTAATGTTTGGTTAAGTGGAGGAGTGGCATAAAAGAGGAAGGCCCTTGATGAAAGGGATTGACACGGTGGTTTCATCAATGGGCTCTGGCACAGAACAATTGTAAGGATGGTGCAGGACTGTGTAGTATTTTGTTCTGTTGTGCATAGGATCACTATGGGTCAGAATCAACTCGATGGCACTTAGCTACAACAGCAGCAGCAAAAGATGCATTGTGCCTCGGGGCAGGTGCTCAGGGAATGAACTGCCTGAGCAGCTTTCTATAAAATTATGGATTTCTTGATCCCACCCTTGATGTAAAGAACCATAAACTAAAAGATCAGAGGTAAGTAGTTATTTTTCCTCGATGACAGTGGGCCAGAGTTGAACTATAATCATTCATATTTTACCTTTTAAAACAAATGAAAATAAGGCACAGAAAATTTGCCCAGTATCACACAGAGCAGTGACGCAATCTAGGAAATCTCATCTTAAACAGAGCTCTTTAACAGCTTTCATGATCAAATTTTCAGTTTTGTAAGCTACTTCTGGTATGTGTGACTGTGCAGAAGCTGGACCAGTCAAGAAGCAGTAAGACCAGTTAACAAGCTCTTGAAGTTATCATTATGAGAAAGGCTGAAAACCTCATTTGCAAATACGGCAAACAAGATAAAGCTGTGAGTCAATTACATAAATATTCTGTTAAGATGACAGAATCAACAACACTTAAGTTGACTGTATACAGGAAGGAAGCGGGAAGAATCAAAGAGGAATTTCTAGTCTCATCAGGAAACAGAAACAGAGTCTGGCCAAGCAGCCCTGCCAACATTCCACATTGCAGCAACTTCTGGAAATGGTAAGGTATCAATGATTAAAGAACGGCACATGCCCCACCTCCCAAACTTTGCCAGCCTTCACCTAAACCATGTTGCCTCATTAAAATAGTATAAAGGGTCCACTCGTGAAGGGAGACGCCAGAAAGGGCAAGATATGACAAAATAATAATTTATAAATTATCAAGGGCTCATGAGGGAGGGGAGAGCGGGGCGGGAGGGGAAAAATGAGGACCTAATGCCGGGGGCTTAAGTGGAGAG